GGTTCAAATTCAGTATTTATTTTTTTTTTTTTTTTTTTTACAAAATATAGTTTTTTTGTTTTTGTTTTAATATATATATGAAAGCCTTGAGATATATCTGAAAGCTTAATGAAGCCTCAAGTTGGTGTAGTTTTAAAGATTTCACTTGTTTGGCTCATTTAAAAATCTCCATAGGATTCAATAGGCCCCTCTAGTGGCTGTAATCATAAAATACAATTTTATGTAAATTTTCCCCACCAGATGGCATCAGAGACACTCAGTGACCTAGGTCCTGATGGATCATCATGTTTAAAGTATAAATATGCAGAAATTGTGTCTTTCATTGTTTTGTTTTGTTTTTTTGGTGTCATTATTTACCAAGTGGCAACCTTCCGGTCTCTCTCTTGAAACCAACACAGAAGTGAATTAACTGTTTTCAGCTATTAGCATGCTATGAAAATGAAAAAGGAAAAAAAATTGACCTTTGTAAAAGTTTTAAATAGTTGTGATACATAGCATGCGGTGAACACCTGTCAAAGTTTATTTATTCCCATTTTAAAGGTTTCTATATGTGGATTCGTTTTAATAAGAGCTCCAAACTCAATTCCCCTCTTTATTTTCTTCAGTACTGACCAGGAAAAACAGCCCAGGTGTGAATCGTCTGCAGGCACATCCTCCCTGGTGGCTGCCCCTGGCGTCAGTGTCTGGGTTTGTGTTACTAATTGGAACCGTGTTTTTGGGGAGGAAGGCTTGCAGATCAACCCAAAGAGAAAACAACTCAAAGTAAGTCATTGTCAGTTCCCAGAGAGATATAACAGCTTGTAGGGTATTTTTCTGGCTTCATGTTGTGCTTCATTTTCTACTAGGCAAAAAATAGAAGAGGTTAAAACCAACCCTGACAATGAAGACAAGAGAATGGCATACAAGGTAACACACTATCTTTGCAACTTCCTTCTGCATGTCTGCTCTCAATTCCTCTCTTCGCTTTCTGTACTTGATAAAGTCGATTATTAAATCAAATTTTCATTGATTTATGTTGACTCTGTTTAATTTAAGAAAACAGTGGTTGAGGTTTGATTCTGGAATGTTTAAATATTTTTGGGGTTGTTGTATGGGTTTTGAAGATGACTTTTCAGCTTATTTTGTGTCTCAGGTGGAATACAGCTCTATGCCTGATCTGGCAGATGTGAAAAGTCCTCCCAGCAGTCCAGACAACATCTATGTTACCATGGTAAGATTCAGTGAACTTGAAAAAGTCATATGTAGATATATGAGTTATGTTACAAAATGTTCTTGCCAGATAAAGAATGTCTATATTTGTTTATATGGTGCATAAAAACATTTTCTGTAAACTGTACTTTTTTTTCAAACACCACAAAAATGTTAAGTGAGAGTAGATATTGCCTGCTTTTGAACTTCCCTTGTGAAAAATAAGTGTGCGTAATTGTATTGATACTTATTGTGCACTTCAAATCCTTAAAGCAGTGGTTCCCAAACCTGTCCTGGAGGACCCCCTGCCCTGCACCTTTTGTATGTCTCCCTTATCTAACACACCTGATTCCACTCATCAGCTAGTTAGTAGAGACTGCAAGAACTAAATTGGGTGTGTCTGATTAGGGAGACATACAAAAAGCACAGGGCAGGGGGTCCTCCAGGACAGGTTTGGGAACCACTGCCTTAAAGTATATTTAAAGAGTTCAGATGCAAAAGCCTCTAAGTGCTGTCTGAATTTTTAATCTAAAATTAGCATTTTTATCAGGCTCCTATATTTATGTTCATTTATTTCACTTTAATGTCATAGAAAAGGACCTATACATTGTCATTAAAGTAAAATTACAGAATCTAAACATATGAGCCTCATAAAAATGTCAATTTTAGAAGAAAATTTCAGTTGGCACTTAGAAGCTTTTGCATCTGAACTCTTCATTTATAAAAACCTGTACTTGCTAATAATAAAATATTAATGATGTAAAAGGCCACTTAAGTGCAGAGAGACACTTTCATGACTGTTTCTTAACACATTTCAGTACATTCTTAAAAAGTGACTTTCAATATCAATTTCAAATTAAACATTTAACGTGCATTTTAAATCATTGTATTAACTATTTTCATGCTTTAAATAAGTACACTTATTTTGATGTGCTGACTAACATACTGTACATGTGAAGCACATGTGAAGTACTTGATTATAATTTTAACACAAAGTTGGTATATTTAAAATATACTATATTGCAACTTCATCATTACGAATGAGTAAATATAAACCTATTTAAAAACATGACATACACGTTTCAACAGAAATTACATGAAATAATTTACCATAAATGCCTATCAGTACATTCAATATAATATTTCATGGACAACAGAACTATGAAATTATATATAAAGATGTACTGAAGTTATAAAGCCCTCTTTAAACCCTATATATATATATATATATATATATATA